AGGTATTAGTGCTAAAAAGCCCTGTGTAGACAGGGCCATTTGTTGGGAAAAGAACCCTTTTGCACAAGAGCCCTTATTCCTCAAAAAATGAGGAAAAAATTTATAACGGTGAAGATCACTGAAGGCCATTTAATAAGCAGTCCAATCGCCTTTGTAGATTTTCATCTATCCTTTTACACTGTTGAGGCAGGAAGCTTAGAAGGTATTAGTGCTAAAAAGCCCTGTGTAGACAGGGCCATTTGTTGGGAAAAGAACCCTTTTGCACAAGAGCCCTTATTCCTCAAAAAATGAGGAAAAAATTTATAACGGTGAAGATCACTGAAGGCCATTTAATAAGCAGTCCAATCGCCTTTGTAGATTTTCATCTATCCTTTTACACTGTTGAGGCAGGAAGCTTAGAGACACACAAAAATGGCTTACAGAAATGAGAAGTATATTAAACAAAATGCAAGGTTATATTATTTTTAAAAGAGACTTTATAGGAAAAGTTTCATCCACATATTTGTACACAAAAAGTGTGGCCTTTTATGTGTACAAATACCAAGTACAGTAAAACTCCATTGGTCCGGCATCCAATGCTCCGACGCGCCTGATGGACTGGCACCATCGGGAACCCGCAAGTGCTCAGGGCAGCCAGACAATTGGAGCTGCTCTGCACCCGGCTTCCCCGATTCAGCCGCTGCGGACCGCGGCGCATCTGGGTGGTCCCGCCGCCCGTGTCCTCCGGGGCGAGAAAAACCCCATTCGTAACTGCGGATCCAACATAAGTCGGATCCGTGTAACTCGGGGACTGCCTGTAATACCATCAGGTTTGCATGATACAAGTCAAGTTAACTTGTTTTCAAATCAGATAAAAGACAATCAAGGAGCTCTTCTTGACATCAGGTCCTGGAAAAGGAAGACAGTCTTGGACATGCACTGACATAAATAAGGATGTGACAGTATATACCAGTTCCTGGACACAGATTGGGGCAGGGCAGAGGAAGCAACTACACCTTTGAGACAAGACAGGTTCAAGAGGAAGGACTCTGAAATGTGAAGGAAACTTTGAACCAGCAAGAACTGTGAATAAGGGAAAATATTAATGAAGGCCCAAAAACTAATTAAAAATGACTGCCACATGGACTCTAAGGCCCGTACGCATACATTTGCACCTCCAGTTCCAACCAGTTTTAATCTGGATAATATTATAAAACTGAATATTCTCCAGCTTCCTCATAGTCATGCCATTCCTTCTCAAGAATGTAGAAAGGAGAATCAAAACCAAATACAGTAAACTTCCGATAATCCGGGACCTTTAGGACCCAGGGGGTGCTGGATTATCAGATGTGCCGGACTATCGGAACGGGGGGCTATGAGGGGTCTGGGGTGGCATCCCCACACCCCACCCCAGACCCCTCATAGCCCCCCGTTCCGATAGTCCGGCACATCTGATAATCCAGCACCCCCTGGGTCCTAAAGGTCCCGGATTATCGGAAGTTTACTGTATTTGGTATTTTACTGCCATCTAATGGTAAAGCATAAGCTCTGCAAGATGAGTTAGCCATCCATGATATAACAGTTAACCAGTCTGAAACAGAGCAGCAGAAAAACTGTTTCACAATAGACTACTGTAGTTAAAGTTGAACGAGGGAGAAGATTAACCAGAATGATCAGGGTTTGTTCCACTGAGGAAAAGGAAGAAGAGTAGGTAGAAAAAATATTAAATAGTTCTAAAAATAAGAATGCACATTTAAAGTAATTTCAAACTATTCAGCAATGCACATTCATTGGGCACTATTATACTGATTTGTATAGTTAAAACATGTCAGTGATTTCTGGAAACCGATGGTCACCTTGTAACCGTGCAAGATGACTTCTTTTGTAAATGTCTGCAGTCAATCAAAATGCTGCTCAGTCTTGATATCCTGCTCTGAACTGTAATTATGTGAAGTGTACATAACAGAAGTTAATTCTAGTTTGTCATTATCAAGCCTTCACATGTACCAGAAAGCTACCTAATAATGAGCACTTGTATAACACTTTCAGCTTCAGAGCAAAGAATAACACTCAACTCTGAGACAGATACTCAGTTATTCCATGTTCATCACGTTTGTAGCACCATTTGCAGTGAAATCTGGGAGTGCATGACAATTAGAATCATAGAATACTAGGACTGGAAGGGACCTTGAGACGTCATCGAGTCCAGTCCCCTGACCTCATGGCAGGACCAAATACTGCCTAGACCATCCCTGATAGACATTTATCTAACCTACTCTTAAATATCTCCAGAGATGGAGATTCCACAACCTCCCTGAGCAATTTATTCCAGTGTTTGACTACCCTGACAGTTAGGAACTTTTTCCTAATGTCCAACCTAAACCTCCTTTGCTGCAGTTTAAGCCCATTGCTGCTCTTTCTCCCTCCTCCTTATGACACCCTTTTAGATATCTGAAAACTGCTATCATGTCCCCCCTCAATCTTCTCTTTTCTAAACTCAACAAACCCAATTCCTTCAGCCTTCCCTCATAGGTCATGTTCTATAAACCTTTAATCATTCTTGTTGCTCTTCTCTGGACCCTCTCCAATTTCTCCACAACCTTCTTGAAATGCGGTGCCCAGAACTGGACACAATACTCCAACTGAGGCCTAACCAGCACAGAGTGGAGCGGAAGAATGACTTCTCATGTCTTGCTCACATCACACCTGTTAATCCCAGAATCATGTTTGCTTTCTTTGCAACTGCATCACACTGCTGACTCATATTCAGCTTGTGGTCCACTATAACCCCTAGATCCCTTTCTGCCGTACTCCTTCCCAGACAGTCGCTTCCCATTCTGTATGTATGAAACTGATTGTTCCTTCCTAAGTGGAGCACTTTGCATTTGTCTTTATTAACCTTCATCCTGTTTACCTCAGACCATTTCTCCAATTTGTCCAGGTCATTTTGAATTATGACCCTATCCTCCAAATTAGTCGCAACCCCTCTCACCATGGTGGTCTCTGCAAACTTAATAGGTGTACTTTCTATACCAATATCTAAATCGTTGATGAAAATATTGAACAGAACCGGTCCCAAAACAGACCCCTGCAAAACTCCACTTGTTATGCCTTTCCAGCAGAATATTCCTTCCTTGCGGGAGTACAATAAAATTGCAAAAAAACAGCAGAAAGTAAATAAATGTATCATGTCATTTGCTAATTATTAACTCTTGAGTATGAAAATATCAATTCTTAAACAGAAAAAGACTAGTCCAAGACTGCTGAAATGACTCGTAAGGTAATAGAAGTATTTTTCAGCTAAACCATAAACAAATATCCAGATCACTAGTTGCCATGTGATCACTGTTCAGCTGCTAGTTAGTTAGTGGTTTCAATACAGTGAGCGTGTGCCCACATCTCTAAAATTACAGTCACAAATTGTGGTTTCAGCAAGGCACCAAGGACAGAAGAAACAAATTCTCCTATTTCCAGTGACTGATTTTTCTAGAGCAAGATTAATGCATATCGATAGCATGAGAATGATAGTATTACAGCTACATGAGAGCTCAGCAGATGTCAGTCTCCTTAAAAGTTTCAGTCACACTGGCAATTCATAGAGACATTTTAACTGAAAAACGCCGATACGTAACAAGACCTGATCAAAATCCTTCATTAGACAGAGAAATGGTTAAATTCATCTTTCATTTAGACTTTCATAAATCCAGAATAATTTCACTGACTTCAGTTATTCCAGATTAAGGTTGATATAAATGAAATCCCAGTTTAGCCCAATGTGCTTTTTTCCAAACTATTGAGAAAATATTTTACAATTTCCCAGAGTTATTCTAACACATTCACTCTCTGACATGACTGGAAATCAGTGGCAGAATATCTTGATCAAGCAATGTTCCTGGGGGACAATACCCCTAATCATAACTACAAAGCTATATATAGTCTGAGGATTTCAAGGAAATATGTTCCTATTTCACAAAAATACAAAACCTTCCTATATCATTAGTATAAAAGTGGATTCTCCACAAGGTCAGGTATGTACAGGCAGTCCCCGGGTTACATGGATCCGACTTACATCGGATCCCTACTTACAAACGGGGTGAGGCAACCCCACACTAGCTGCTTCCCCCCAGCAGACCAGGGAGACGCGAAGCTAGCCCCCCCCTCCCCAGCAGACCAGGGAGATGCGGAGCGGCTTTTCTCAGCAGACACCTTAGCTTGAGAATAAAGGACTGAGGGAAGTGAGGTGTGGGAGAATAAAACTGAGCTCTGGAGAAATGTTTGGCTAGAGTTTCCCCTACAATATGTACCAGTTCCGACTTAAGAACACACCTACAGTCCCTATCTTGTACGTAACCTGGGGACTGCCTGTATAGACTTAAGTATTTTTCACGCTCCTCAAAGGCTTTGCCAGAGTAGGACACACTATTTGGTCCATAAAATAGGCTGACACATGAAAAAAAAATTATGAGTATTATTCTAGCATAACGCAAAGGTTCACTAATACATACTTACGTTAAATATTAACTCTGTCCACAAAACAATATAGAGAATTATTTTTCCACATTTAACCAAAACCAAGGGTCTGAAGCAACAGCTGTTAAACATGCACATTTGATTACATGATATTTCTTGCTGGTATTGTGTTGGAAGCTCATTTCTCTTTTTTCTGAAGCAGTGAGAATATATTATAACCACAAGAGAGACATTACCTCAGATGCTTTCCGTTTCATTTCCTTACACAACGTGTCACAGTCTAGTGAAACCTGGCCTTCTTGTACCTTGCTGCATTGTAATTCCTATAGGTATGAAAAAGTTTCAGATTTAGAAGTCACTCCTCTATCCAAAGTTCATTAATTTTCAATATGAACAATATATCAGATTTCTAACTGATGAAACGTGCGTTAAATAATGTTTTATAAAATGGAAAATAAGCTAGTTACAGAACATTTTCAAGTCTATAATTTTGTTTGTAATTCAGACATTTTCCATCTTCCTGGTAATAGTGAAGATCCGAGTATGAATAAAATTAATACCATGCCTTTTTTTATTAGCTGTTTTTGTATTTCACTAATTTCACTGTCCCCTCCTACCCTCACAGCCTCAGAAGTGGGCAAAGTTTACATAGCTATGTTATTGGGCAATAATGAACGTTACTCTGAAATAACTATGCAAGTATTTACATAGCAAGCCAGTTATTCCAAAATAATTTTGAAATAATGGACAGCTTATTTTGACATTTGTAAACCTCATTCCATGAGGAATAACGCCTCTTCTGAAATAGCTATTTAGGAATAGCAGAAGTGTGGACACTCCACTGCTGCTATTTTAAAATAGCTCCTCCCCCAGGACATTAAAAGTAATTACTCCCCAGTGCTTCCTGGGGTTCTACATCGAGGTAGCATGCACACATTACAGGGAATCCTGGAAATTAGTCCAAGGCCAGCTCCCCTACTGTAGACATGCTATTTTGAAATAAGCTACTTCGGAGTACTTCTTCCAAAATAATTGTGCAGTGTAGACGTAGTCTTAAAGAATTAAGGCTTAAACATAATGCAACTAGCACCCTGAACAATCAAGTACATTTTGTTTCTTACTGGGGTGTGAAAGAATTTAGTCCACTATATCTGAGAGCAGGGGCACTACAATTTGGAGAGCTATGCCCTTGGCTGGCATGAGACTTACTGGGTTGTTTATGGTGCAGCACACTTAGCTACAGGATACCTGACTACCAGAAACCTAGTAGTAGGTTCTAGCTAACCTATCTGAGGAGGGCGTGAAATCTATCAGGGATAATAAGGAGACAAAAGGGCAGATTCAGATGGGTTAGGAAAAAGATCTGACTACCTGAATCTTCTTGTGTCAAATAAACCAATTAAGGGCTGATAAGGTAATATGTGATAAGAGAGTGTTGGGAGGCAGGGAATTGGCCAACAAAAGCAGCATACACTTGCTGTACATGCAACATTGCTGGTGCCAGAATGCTCTTCCGTCACTGAGAAAGAAGTTACATCAGAAAAATTTCGATTCACGGTGATGTCAAAGAAGTTGTATTTTTGGGGTGCTCCTACTGAACTGGGACCCCATTTGTTCAGGGGTAGTGTGGTTGCAATAGGAGCCAAAAGGAGGCATAGTATCAATGGTGGCATCCAAATGCAGAAAGGGATGTGGGAACCCAACAGGGAGTATAGTTTAGTGTTATATATACACAAAACACTTCCTTATAGTCTTTTCTTCACAGGAGTTGGTGACTGGGTGTTTGGGCACAACATTGTGTATCTGACTTACAGGCAGGTGGCCTGTCCCTGTTGGAAGCTCACTGCTGCGCCTCAGTGGTAAGGCAGCTCTGATTTGGCCTGGGATAGAGGGGCATGTTCTGGAACCAGAAGATGCCCTCTTGTTTCTGTTGGCTAACAAATGGCCACATGAAAAGACCTGTCTATTACAACCCAATGATGATGCCACCATATTTGCACTCAGATTTACATAGAACCTTAGGTCTGTCAATGGATTCTTTAATGTAATTACATATACATTTCCCTGATCTCTGGTCAGAAAAATGTATGTGTTTCCTTTATCTGATCTAGATTTGAGCAAGACTTATATGCTAGTCTCCCAGTAGAGTTTATTTATTAATGGAGATTGCCTATCTCCTAGAACTGGAAGGGACCTTGAAAGGTCAGCCAGTCCAGTCCACTGCTTTCCCAGCAGGACCAAGTACCATCCCTGACAAACTTTTGCCCCAAATGGCCTCCTCAAGGATTGAACTCACAACCAGAGGTTTAGCAAGCCAATGCTCAAACCACTGAGCTATCCCTCCCATTTATACAAACCCACATACATTTGAAACAATTCACTGCATGGATCACAATATTTTTAGGTTACAAAACTAACAATTTTACATCTTCAAAGAACCCATTCATACTAAGGGCAAGACCCTCAGCTGAGGTGAGTATTTTAGGTCCACTAAAGTAATTAGAGCTACTGAATACCAAATTTACTTCAGTGGTGATCATTCCCTATGGATGCAGATATAAAGCAAAGAAGGAAGTTCACAGATACAGCTCTCTCAAAATTACAGCATGGAATTTACCTTTTTAATTCTCTTGCATGGACATCTGATTTTAACCTTCTGGTTGCAATTTTGAGGACAATCACCTGAATGGCAAATCTCTTTACAGCGATGACCACAGGACAACTGTGAAACAAAGAAACTGGTTCTCTGCAACTGGACTTTAAAATGTTTCTATTTCAAACACAACATTTAAGCAAAAGTAGAACCAGGAGAGCCCAATTAATGTATTAATTTCCCACATAGGTAGTAACTAACTACATGAAGCTGTGAATGGGTGATGGGATGGATCACTTGATTACCTGTTCTGTTCATTCCCTCAGGGACACCTGGCATTGGCCAATGTTGGAAGACATGATATTGGGCTAGATGAACCTTTGGTATGATCCAGGATGGCTGTTCTTATGGTCTTAACTTGCTCATTAACATTTACTTTTTATTTTCTTCACAGAATTTTTAGTTCCTATTACTAGAAACCATGCAACATTCAAAGTATAATTTTTTATGGACTTCATTTTCACAACTTGATTGAAAACAAGATCCAGTTACTTTAAATACAAAATTTCAAGAAGTACAATATCCTCTCTAAAATTATACACAATACCACCATCACAACTCCAGTCATGGGGTGGGGGAAATAAGGGTGAAAAGGAAGGGGGGAAAAAAGGAAAGAGTTAAAAACTAAGTTAAAGAAGCTACTCTGCATTCACTACCTTCAAGTTATATATTTCAAATAGGAGAGAACAAAAACAGAAGGAAACGGAAATGTTTACTATGACATATTTTTGAACCATAAACTATACTATGAAGAAGCCAGATACACATCATCAAGCTTTTTGTTGTTTAGCCTCCTTTCAAGTTCAGACAATTTTAAGTGTATGACTTTGACAGACTCCAATTTCTTGTCTTTAGGATATGGGGCCTTCAAACCTTTTGCCTATTATAAGTAGAAATCCCTTAAGATTACAAAAACCAAAATTCAATTGCCTTTTAATTTAATGATCCTACATGACAGACTTTTTCATGTTAACTATGTCTGTTTCTTTAGGTGCTCAGCAAAGATTTCACTCGTTTCTTACCACAGTACAGTGACTAATAAATTTAGGGATGCACCAAACAGTAATTATAGAAGTCAGAGAAGTTTGTCACTTGGGTAAAGAACGTGTGTGTGTGTGTGTGTGTGTGTGTGTGTGTGTGTGTGTGTGTGTGCGCGCGCGCGCGCGCGCACACGCAATAACCTTACCTGGCAAAGCACTATTTTTAGACCAATGTTGGTCCAATCCCATGAATAGTTCCGAAGTTCGTGAAGTCACACACAAAAGTGCTACAAGACTCAGCTCCAACATTTTCTCTTAAAGTCTCCCACTGTTGCACTGCCATCAGTGCCTCATGGTGGGAATGCTAGCGTAAACCAGCTGCGATAATTTTAATCAACATGAGTAGGGCTAGATAACCATGTGCATTCAATTTAAATTAGATGTGTCTGTTGCTGCCACCAGAGAAGCTGTGCAACTGTGGGAGAAAAAAAGCTTAGTATATAAGCTTAGGGATGCTGGCTGAGGGAGGGAGCTCCAGACTGAAGAGAGTTGGGGTCAGGTGGAGGGTTGGGGTGCTGAGTAAGACGTGGGCTTGTGGATGTGAAGGTGCAGGAGTCTGGGTGGAATGTATGAGGGGCTCAGGGCAGGGAGGTTGGGTGTATGATGGGCTCAAGACACAGATTAACAGTGTGTACACAGTGCAGGAGTGCTGTGGCAGAAGATTGGGGAAATGGGGGTGCAGGAGTTTGGGGATGAGAGAGGCTCAGAACAGGGGATTCTAGTGTATGATAGGCTCAGGGTTGGAGTCGGACAGTGCTGTGATGCTATGAGGCTGTGGCCAGATGGGAGCTCAGCCCCAATTGGGGGCTTGTTGGCCAGGCTTCATTTTTAAAGAAAGTATTATGTCAAACACACAATGTTTCAGCATTGTCTTTAGTTATGAGAGGGGCAGGGAACCTGTTTTGGGTCAGAGGTCGCTGACCCACAGAAAAACCAGTCAGGGACTACACAAGTGAGATGCAAAAAAACCCCTCCAAACTCCCCTAAGGTTCACTGATGTGGCCCGACTGAGACACCTCACTCCCCTACCACTCCAGGCCCATGGGGGGAGGGTAGGTAGGAATGAGAGTTAGGCCAGATTAACTCTTCTGGAATTCCAGAGTTAGTGGAATTTGTGGGCCCCTCTACACTCTGAGGTGGGGCCAAAAATGAGGGATCCAGTGCACGGCTGCCAGTGAGTGGGCTACAGATGGGGGTGCAGAATCTGTGTGGAAAATAGGGTACAGGAGCAAGGAGGGGGCAGAAGCAAGGTACTGATGGATGTCTGGCCAGGGGGTAGGAGCAGGGTGCTGGTGGATGTGTAGGCAGGGTATTCATGGGGATCTGGCCAGGGGGAGCGGGCAGGGACAGCTCAGCCAGTAACTGTGGCATGTGCTGCTCCTCCTGTCCCCAAAACAGCTGGCATGCTTCCTCAGAAGTCGGAGCTGGTGCGCAGCCAGGGACTCCCCACCCCCCACTACACCACGGGAAGCTGGCACTACCTCCATTTTCCCAAGAGGTAGCACCAGCACGAGCTGCTTCTTGGGGATGGAGGGGAACAAAGGAGAGGGTCTGGAACACCTCAGGATTGACTGGTCGTGCCCCCAAAATCAACCAGTTGATCATGATCGATGGGTTGGTGACCACGGTTTTGGTGACCAAAGTAAGTTAAAGCAACTAGAAACAGACAAGAATTAGTCCATCATGTATGTCTCTGACGGGGGTTCCTATGTGTATGCAAACAACAGTAATCTGACAAACATCAGGCTCCATGGTTCTAGTGAACAGATGTCACTCTCAAATACCACCACCACTTCTAAATGGCACTCTTTTTAGCAGTCTCAGAAGCAAACTACAAATAAAGACATTCTTCCTCTCAAACCTAGTAGTGGACACTCAAGTTTAAAGTTAAAGTCCACTATCAGGGCTTTGATGGAAAGTTTATATTCCTCCTGCAATACCTTGTTGTATGGCCTTTATCCCCAGGACATTCTTTCACAAGTACTTCATTCACTTTAAAAAAAATTGCACAAATTACCTAAATTGTCAATATTTTATGTAAAGGCTCAGGTAATTAAATTGTAGAAGGAGAAACTGTACAGCGATAGGTAAAAGTTAGAATTATTACTTGTTTTTTTAGTATCATCTCTACTTTCAGGTATGACTTTCACCTTTATAGTGCTGGCACATTAGAATAAACTATACCTACTCACTAGTCATGTGTTACTGGTAAACTGTAAACCAAGCTCCTTTGTAATAGTAAATTCTGATCAGCATGAACACAAGAGTATGAGTGATATGTTCAAACAAACATAGAAACTTTTCAGTACTGTATATCAGAACACCTCTCTTTTAGAATTGTCCTAAACATTTAGAAATCTGTTATAAATAATAATCTGAGTACTCATAACTAATGGTAAAATTATAATTTCCTTCTTAAGGACATCTGGTTCTTGCTGCCAAATTAAAAAAAAAAAAAAAACACTTAAAAAATGTTTTAACTTTACTAACATCTGTGACAATTCAAAGCCTTTGTGGTTCCCTAAAGCAAAAAAGATATCTAAAAGAGTGCTACTTGTACCAGACTATGGAAGTCCTCAGAATAGTTTGTACAACTGTAGCCAAAACACAACTATGAAACTTGGCAAAATTTTTACAGTTATTGCTATATCCTTTAAGCCATGTAATTAAGGGTCTTTCACAATTCCCAAAAGTAATATCAGACTTAACATTTCAAATACTGCATAATATTGTATTACCTTACATTGCATCAATTCTGAAGTAAAAAAAAGTAGTATGCCTAAAAACTACGACTTAAGACATAAAACAGATATTACCCTTTAAAGTAGTAAAGTTCTGTAACTCTGGACTCTGGTGGAAGTTTTTTTTTTTTTTAAATAAAGCAATTTACAATAAGCAGCAACAAGGTCACTAAGCTTCTTCATACTAACACACAGACAGTCACTGGCACTTATATGAAGATTTCCTCTCACAATAAAAAGGAAAAATACATTTGGCAAAGGAAAACAAAATCAGTTTAACAGAGACTCAGAGTTAATCAGTGCTGCCACAACAGTATGTGAACTCATGGCACAATAGTATTAATTACACATTATGGAGGCATTATTTGCAGCACCATTGTTAAAGCTGATTTTAGTTTCATACCTGAAACTCTCATACTAATGTTCAATCGGTCTTTCCATTTTCCATTGGCTTTTTTTGAAAATTTAAACCATTCAACTTCCACTATCCACATCAACATTCTGACCTGAGACTGCCTATTAACATTTTTGGTCTCTGAAAGATTTCTCTTGATGGAATTGCTTTATATTGTGTCTCTCCGATTTTCAAATTTACCTAAAATTCCTCTAGTGGCCTTCATGCTTGTCTAGGTCCTTATTCCATATATGAATAGAGTATTTTCAACTAGGTTGTTGGGGGGAAAAGAACCCGATTTGACAGACCTTCTTTCAAAATCTCACACAGTATGCAGTCCTAGCAATCTCCCCTAATCTTTGACCAAGTCACTTAATCCTTGCCACCAGGGGCCACAGTTTACTCAGTCTTTTCAGACCACAAATAGTAAATATGTTCTGAGCTTGTCCTTTCATACTTTGCACCTGTTTTATATATTTCCTTTAAGGCTTTAATGGCAGCTTTTCAATGAACTTTGCAGATTGGTGGCCTGCTCCAGTTCCAATGAGTTAGACTAGGACAATCCAATAACTTTTTTTTTTTTTTTTTTTAAATAAAGAGCAATTTTACACTGGATCCTAAAATTTGTGGCACACTCACTAGAATTTTGGAGCTTGCAAGTTATGTAGTCTTGCTTTTCTTTCTGTATCAATGGGTCACTAAAGAAAGAAGTGAGTTACACTAGTTGAAGTAAGATATGAAGGAGGTTTCAAAAGAGGTGGAGCTGAGCCAAAGGAATATTCAGTAACTGTTGTAGAGACACAGGTACATTAGCAGATAGGAGAAGGAGATTTGAGCAAAGGACTCTTAGATTACCGAAGAGGAATATGAAAGGATTGAGTTAAGGAGGTAGATGCAAGGAATATAACTGAGTTTCAGAATGCTCCTCTTGTATCAAAAAAAATACTTCCATCAGATACTTATCTGAAGGAAATTGAGATAAAGCTACTTATTTACTTGCTCAAGATAAATGGGAAGGCTGAAGAGGGAAGAGCCACTAAAAGGAACAAACGCAGACTGAAAGCAGCAGAGGGAAGGAAGGAAAAAGAAAAAGAACTGTGAGCTTGGAAGGCTGTGTATGTGTTTTTTGTGAGCCTAACATTTTGGATGGGAGGATTCAGAGCTATGGAAATGTTAGGCACAAAAAGGAAAAGGAGGATTCTCAGTCTGGGGTTAAATAAGTTCTGTGTTTCTTAGTAGGCTGGCATCACAAGAGCTGAGGGAACTTGGGAGTTTAAACTGTCAGGGCTGTGTGAAAGGAAATGGCATGAACTGATGAATGAAGAATGAACTGGTGGGTGTATGTAGGAGACAAGGGGAGTTTGTGGGGCACAGGTAGAATGGAAAAAGGACAGCCTGAGGTTAGGAGAGAACAGTAAAGAAATGGCAGAGGGATACATATTGTTCTCTCTCCCAGTTTTTCACTCTTGAGAAGTAGGGAAAAGATTGGGAAAGGTTGTCCCTAATTACCCAATCTCCCCCTCCTATCTGCTGAGAAGAGCTTCTCTAATCTCCCTGACTTCAGCACCCCTATTTCTCAACTTGATAATCCCATCTGCAATTGGGAAGGGAAGGACAAAATTGTTACTTGTTGCCCCTCCAGTTAATTTGGTACTAGTCACAGCTAATGGAGTCTAAGATATTGAGCAGGGGTTGGCAACTTACAGCTTGTGAGCCAAATATAGCTCATTAGGCAGCCAGATATGGCTCTTTTGAAGCTGGAGCCCAGCTCCCCTTTGCTCCCCGCAAAGCAGGGAGCCCATGCTGGTGCTACAGCAGGCCTGGGCAAAATCCAGCCCATAGATACAGCAGGGAGCCCCCAGGCAGACTCCCCTGTTTGCCCCACCCCTGCACCTACTCAGAAAAGCACCTGTGGGGCCACCTGTGCTCCACAAAGTTTGAGCATGGAGAGGAGGGGGAAGTGGTGCTTTACGGCTACTCCCATCCCTAGAACAACCCCACTGGCTGGTTTCTGGCCAATGGAAGCTGCTTGTTTCAAGAACAGGCAGCATGCAAAGCACCAAACCCCTCCGTTTCTTATTCACATAACATATGGCCACGCAGCCTATGCAGCTTAAGGGGTTAAGGGAAGGGCAGGCTCCTGCAAGAGAAATGTTCTGGGCTGCTGTTCTGGAATCTCACTGTTAAGTCTCCCAAACAGAGTCCTGTCCCCGCCTACATAATCCAAACCCTCTGTCCCCCCTTCTGAGCCCATACCCCCTTCCACATCCTGCACCCCAATCCGCTGCCCCAGATCACAATCCAAATCCCTGCATGTCAATCCTGTGCCTTATATCACAACTGCCTCCTTCATCAAAACTCAGTGGGCCAACTCAAAAAAAGTTCCTCACACCTGCCATAAAGACAATGTTGAAATCTTTTCCCCACAGTAGCATGAGAAACTCTCTCCCAGGAACACACCCCTTGAAATGTGTAAATAGGGGAAAGTTTAGATTGTCATCAGGTTTTTATTGTTTTCCAGGTTTGGAATCATGTCTGAGCAGGTTAATTGTTTTTCTCTTTTGTAACTAAGGATTACAGCCCAGGGATTCTCCGAGTCTCTTTCAACCCATGGCTTCTAACACCCAGTCATACAGTATGCTTGCAACAGTAGACTTTAAAAAAAAATTAAAACAAGTGTTTTCTTTTTATTTTAGTTAACTGGTATTGGTTGATTTTGGTGTCCTTAAACCTACGTGCCTAAGTTACCCGGAAAAAGCAGAGCCCCGCTGTTCTCTGCAGATTATCTGTTGGTTTTCCCAATTCCAAGCAAAATGGAGGTTGGGGTGGGTGGAGGGAGGAAAACTTTGCTTCAGGGAGAGGATTTCAAGTAATCTCTTCCCCGTAAATGGGTTTATTTTATATTTCTAGTTACATTTGGTGGTGGTAGCAACCGGTCTTCTTTCTTTGGGGTCTCAGGGAAAATGAGACTGGACAAGTTTGTGTCTGAGAGTTACAAAGGCAGGTTCTAACAGAGTTCATTCTGCTAGCCAGCCCCCATATCTACACTTGAAGTGCCAACTTGGGGAATTGAACTGTAACAACATAATATTTTACTTTATTTAAAAATCAAGTCTGGCCAACAAATCCCAATTGGGCCCCAGCCTCCATCTGGCTGCAGTGTCATAAACACTCCTGCACCCTCCCAACACACACCAACCCTGAGCCCATCATACACCTGAGCCCTTCATACTCCCACATCCCCAGACTCTTGTAGTTCCACATGCCCCAACCCAGTATCCTGAGCCCATCGAACACTCAAACTCCCTGCCCTGAGCCCCTCATACATCCCAACCCAGACTCCTGAACCCCCACATCTCCAAACCCCCTGCCATAAGATAGACAGAAGACAGTCTGAATGCATGTATGAAGCTGGATTTGACCAGTTTTGATGTACACTTCAAAGAACTGCATGAAAAGATGCAGCAGTAGAAGTCCCATTAAAGTCTGTGAATACACTGTTTCATTTGTGCTATTATTAATCATTATGTCAATTATCAATAATAGTAAGTTATATATTTTCAGTCATGCAAATGGGCATTCTTATATGGCTCTTTGTTGACCACTTGTTCTGAATTTTGATGTAGTTTGGCTCTGGTTTGAAAAGGTTGTCGACAACCACTTTAGAGTAATGATCTGATGACTTAAGAGAAAGTGGACAGAAAACAAAAGAATGAATTGCTCCCTGCGAATACCAAAGCAGAAGAAAAGAAAGCACTAATTTACCAATAAAGCTTACCTCTTTTGGACACTGATTTTTGCAGGAACTGAGAAGATCCTTTTCTTTTAAGTCAGCACAAGTTATTTTTCTATTGAAAATGTTTAACAAAAGGCCAAATTAGAACTAATTCAATCAAACACAATTATGAACACATTTAATTACATATTTTTGCTCAGCAGAGAGAAATAGTTTCAGTTGGCTGCATACTATACACAAGAGTAACTGTCCCAAATAAAAACCTTGTGCCAAGTCAGATAACCACTCTCTTTATGTTGGCAATTTAATAATGCAGTCAGATTCTTCACTGTCAAAGCTTAATACAATTGTTGATGCTGCTGATTGGAAGCATTTAAATTTGAAAGAGTAACATGCTCATAAAAATAGAGAATTCTTCAAAGACATTCTACTAGATCAGCAAAGCATCATGGTTCTGCAGATATGAAAAAATCCACCCTAGTTAAAAAGGTACGTGGAAACAATGATACACATGAAATTAAAGCAATCAACGAAACATCAACGGCCAAAAAGGCTAAATATTTTTAAACATATTAAGAACCAGAAAAGTCCCTGGCAAGGTCTAGGTATATCACTAGATACAGATGGTGGAACAATAAATGACAGAGAAAAGGCAGAAATGTCTAATAGATATTTTTGCTCTATAGTTGGAATGAAGCAGGAAAATATATCCATCCAACTCTTGGAGAAACTCTGAACCACTAGTAAATTTAACAAACCTTGGCAAATGGGGGTAATTCCAAAGGAACGGAAGACTGCCAATGTAGTTCCAATATTTAAAAAAGGCAAAAAACGATAACTTAAAGCACTACTGATGGTTAGCCAGGCACTGATACCACATAACATAATGTAATGCTTTATTTGGGGATTTTATTAGAGACTAAAAATATAATTAGTATCAGTTAGCATGATTTCATAAAAGATATTTTTTGGATAATTTTTTTTGTAAACCTCCCTAGGCAATAGGTGTGGTTGATACAGGCACCTATGTTGATAAAGGGATATGGATTTCTCCAAGGCATTTGGCTTAGTATCACATCACGTTCTGAGAAATAATTGCACTACAGATATTAACTGGACATGCATTAGATGGATTAACAACTTTATCAGTAGGGTCTACCAGGGATCGAGTCTCAGTAAAACACTATAATATTTTACTCTATCTAGAGGACACAAAAATCTTTGCTAATATTTGAAGAGATGACCAATCTTTGTGTCCGTTAGAGCAGTTTCTCTCAACCAGTGGTATAAGTACGCCCAGGGGTACTCGAGAGAAGTCTGGGGGGCACATCAACACAACTGAAATTTGGAGAAAACTGAATTTTTGCTTTAAGTTTTTACAGTGCTTTATTATTTTTGTACTTTTTACACCCAAAAATTTCATCAGCCACTTGGCTACGATTAAGTTGTTTAAATAAATGTGTTGCAATGGTAGAAAAAAATGTGTCTGAAAACTATAGGTACTGGGGGGAGGTACTTTTTTTTTTTTTTTTAAGGGGGTACTTTATTTAAAAAAGGTTGAGAAACACTGCATTAGAGTGATCTGAGTGACTTGATTATATGATCACAATCCACAAATGTGTTTTAATATAGCCAAATGTAAGTTAATATATCTTGGGAACCAAGAACACAGATTATACCCCTTCAGGATAGAAGATTGAAGGACTTAAGTGTCATCATAGATAAATTCCCTCAAAATGATGTTTCAATATAAGGCTGTAACAAGATCCAGTGGCTGGAAGTTGAAGCTAAACAAATTCAGACTAGGCAAATATGGTACACATTTTTAACAATGAGGTAATCCAAAACTCGAACAATCTACCAAGGATGTGATGAAATCTCCAGAACTACAATTTTTAAAATCAGTACTGAATATTTACCTAAAATATAAGCTCTAGTTTAAACAGTAATTTGAGAAAGTTCTATAATGTGTATTATACAGGAAGTCAATTTAGATTGTAACAGTGGTCCCCCTTCTGACTATAATCCATGAATTACAGAGTTTAAATTGAAAAGATCTTTATAGAATCTAGTACGTTTGTGTACTGCCTTCATTATAACACTTTATAAGAGAATAAAGTCCATTTCTGGCATATATTACCAAAAAAATCAACTACATACAAAAACTAATTATTCTCTTAACACTGTTGTAGAATCTTAATGTTTTAACTGCCAATAATGAATCAGATCTGAGTGCATAGAAAAGCAGATGGTGATTTTTAGTGCTTTTTTGAGCCATCATCAATTGTGTAATTTTCAAATGAAAAGACCCAACCAAGAGATCTCTTTTAAAATGTCTCCTCCAAGTATTCATATTTCTTTAAGATCTGAATTCAAACATCCTTTTTCTACTTACATGCACTCAATATACAGGTTTGTGAGTTTGCAGTGACACTTCATTTTAAGCATTTGGACACACGGTGGACATTGGCCAGGGTGACAGGGCAAAATGCACAAGTGAGGGCAGCCTCGTGGTCGTGGCTTGGTACACACCTCCTCACATTGAGAACATTCTGGACTAGCCTAAAAAAAAATAATACAGGAAAAGTTATCAGTGGAGACTTGCTAATGGAATATAATTTTAAAATGAACTTTTAACATTTAGAAAAAAAATACATGTGAAAAGTGAGCTTTAATCTTCAGTGAACTGTCAAACAAAACATTAAAAGATGCTTTTAACAGAATGAAAGTAATGCCTGCAGCTGGGGGTCAAACAAAGAGGATCCTACTTTCTCTCCCAGACAAAGAGGGCCATTTAAGGGTATTACTTTGAAAAACTGCCATTTGGGACTACTATTATTAAGTTTGTAGGGTTAAAAAGTAGTTAGTCAGAAAATGCCAAAGTCAAGACAGAATACTCAAGACTTTAACTATGCGCCTCCAGTGCATATTCATCATGACACTATAATCATATAAAATACTACTTCTGATGTACAATATTTTTACTCCAACAGCTACAAACTACACTTACACTAATACAAGTTTCACAGTGGTCCAAAGACTACTTATTTAAATTCTCATGTTTGAGAGCAGCTGAATACTGCCTCCAATATGTACACATTACAAAGTACCCAGGAACCCTGTTTTTTCCCCCCCTCAGCTCTAGTCAACAAGGCAGATCACATACAGAGTTCATCGTTCCTTAGGTGCTCATTTAAGCCATTGATTCTGTAATGAGAACCAGACAGATGAGTAAATCTGACTGCATAGTTGGGGGCCTTAATGAACAAAGCAAAAAATTTCTACACATTATCACATCCTAGTGCTCAAAAGTTCATACGTCAGCCAAATTAAAGAATTTCCTGAAGAATTAAGTTGAGTATTGCACCTCCAGGAGGACTATCTCCAAGCCACGTTTCAACTTCATGACGTTTTGTGTGCAGGGCTGTTCAAAATAAGGATTTATTTTATTCATTTAAGGGAAATACCATTTCTCTCCAGTCCCCTCTCATCCTGCTCACACAACATGGCTGAAGGTGTTTTCATTAACATTTAAAAGATGTAGGCATCTCTGTGTAGGGACAAGTGGCAAGTGTCACTCCAAGAAGTGAACTTTTTAGTTATACTCTTAATTTTCTGAAAGTAGGTTAAGGGAAGTTGTTAGGCACCTTTAGGGTGTGTCTACACTGCACCCTTAGCTCAAAATAAGCTACGCAATTTGAGATATGCAATTTGCATATCTTATTTTGAGTGTATTTTGAAATAGTTTATTTTATAATATGGCACGGTCTACAAAGCGCCAAATTTCAAAATAAACCACTACAGGCAGTCCCCGGGTTACGTACAAGATAGGGACTGTAGGTATGTTCTTAAGTTGAATTTGTATGCAAGTCAGAACTGGTACATATTGTAGGGGAAACTCTAGCCAAACATTTCTCCAGAGCTCAGTTTTATTCTCCCACACCTCACTTCCCTCAGCCCTTTATTCTCAAGCTGAGGTGTCTCCTGAGAAAAGCCGCTCCGTGTCTCCCTGGTCTGTTGGGGGGAAGCAGTAGTGCGGGGTTGCCTCACCCCGTTTGTAAGTAGGGATCCGATGTAAGTCGGATCCATGTAACCCGGGGACTGCCTGTATTCCAAAACATCCCTTACTCGGAATAACATGCCCATTATTTTGAAAGATATTTTGAAATAATGGGCACGCTGTCAACATGGAATAGCTATTTCGGGATACTGGAAGTAAGTATCCCAAAATAGCACCTCAGCGTAGAGTACTCTCTCTGATAGTAGGTTAATGACAGAACAGATTTTTGTACAGTGCTTTTCACCTGCAAAGTGCTGAACAAACTAACTTGACGCAGGAAGGTATCAATGTTCAGAGATGAGAAATAAAACTAACCAGGCTATAGTTTTGTATCTGTCAAGAAGCAGAGAAAAAGTCCTCAAGTCCAACTCTTCATTTAAAAAACTATTCAAAGAAAACTTGACATATGGATTACTTATATTTTGTGCTCTTTGCATTTTCCCCCTCAAACAGCAGTATATGCAGCAATGGGGTGTAAACTTGACTATTAAATAGCAGCCTGAAAAAATTAATGATGAAGTATGTATTTCAGAACTAGGACAAAAAGATAAACCCATTGCATGGAGAGTAATCCTTAAATAGTTAAATATCTTTTTTCTATATTGTAATGAAGTTTAAATTTATTCCTGTAGCAAATTCTACTCTACATTAGCAGAGAGTCAAAGAAACATACACTATTTCCTACAGTGATTAAGATAAATCTCATTACTGAACAGTGGTTAGAGATGTGCACATTAAGCAAGACACTGTTTTAGTTTCATTCATATATTAAATGCGCCACTATGTGTCTTCTGATGACTTTAAAACATTTGTGAAACTTTGGAAATAGTGCATTTATTTTTAATCTTCAGAATTTTATAATAGCATTGACTGACAGAAACAGGTAACTTATTTACTTTTACAGTTCTTTGAAGCCAATATCTTCCAGATAGGCTTATTCAGACGGCATTCAACATGGCATCCAGATAACATTCCAAACTATTTCCCAGATGTCTTTCCTATCCTATAGCAAGAAGGTTTCAGGGAGGGGCCTGAACTCAAAATAAAGCTGATAGTGAGTAAAAAGTTTCCCAGCATCAGCTCAATTTTGAATTGGGCAAGTACGACATAGGCCTGATCTACACACTAAATTTCACTGTTAATTGAACCATGTTATTTTAGACCAATTTAGTTATACTGTTGCAAACCACACAATTAGTTTAAACGTAGCATACACTGGGGTTTAAATTGTGTTGGCAAATTTGCAGATGCAACATAACCAATTTTATACAAATATATGTTTGTCTAGATAGGAACATATAATTACATGTAAACAATTTGTCCTCATTCCAAGAGGCATGTACTGTTGGAGTGTTCCACTTGCAAAGATTATAATTTTACAGAAAGGCACAAAGTGTGTATAGTTAAGCTAGACCAGAGTGGGCCATAGGCCTGCTTTGGGAAAGTTGCTAGCAGACCTGCTTCCTGCGGTACCCATTGGCTGGAAACAGTGAATTGGAGCCAATGAAAGCCGCAAGACTCCATGGATATGGACCCTTTGGGGAAACAAAGTGGCATAGGCCTGCTAAAGGCTTTCCCAAAGCAGGCTGCAGCCCACTCTGCAAAACACTGAGCTAGACCTAGAATAGATGATAATTGAAGGAATAGAATAAATAACCTTTATAATAATTTTTTATAAGAAATAAGATCCAAATAAGAAAGAATTATTTATTAAAATCTTACAGGTATCCCACAAAACTAAGATTCCATTAACTGCATTGCTCCTCCTTTTATACTTGCACTACTTTCTGCATATCTTTATCATTACTAGGTATGTTAAAAAGGCGTTTTTCTTTGTAAATGTGCAACCGCTGAAAACTGTATGAGAGTCTGTAGTGCAGGGTGGGCAGCCAGTTTCCTGGGAGAGGGACCAGCAGCTGGCAGTGCACTGGCTGCACCACTAACATTTTTAACTGCTACATGGTTACAGTAATAATCATTTTTAACATCCTTAGTGCCAGTTGGAAGAAGGCAAAGGGAATATAGAGTTTAAAGGGATCCCCTGCATCAGATATATGCATAATAATTCACTACAGGTGGCATTTATCAAGAGCCCACCAGCATCAATCATGGCAAAATGTATGAACAGATAATGTCTAAGGAATTATGCATCTGTACTGAAAATTATGCTCCTAAAGCACAGGAATTAAGGCATGTCACCAGAAGACGATAAACATGCTGCTTTCTAGTAGGAAGGAAGAGATGCTCCTCTCTGTTCTATCTGGTTCAAAATGTATTGTCTATTTCACAACAGAGGCCTATACGCAATCTAAGGCAAATGCCAATGAAGAGACTATGAAGTCAGCAAAAAAGAGGCACAGAGGAAAAAGCAATAAGGGCTACCTGTTTAAGAAAAAAAGCAATGCTTTTCAGGATATTGCTGGAGGGGTGTGGCAAATCACGCTGAAGCTTTTCCACTCCAGAGGGAAGTGAACATCATGACTTGTCCAATGAATAGAAGATTACAACTAAACCTGTCTATAAAATCCTGGAAGAACTTAGTTACATAAGTCTAGGTTTTAGAATGAATGTTATGTTTTTATTTTATACGTAACCATTTATTTTCAGTATTTCTATTTGCTGCAATTTGGATCTCTTCCCCATTGCTAAATCAGCTTGTACTTGTTTTCACTATAAACTCATTGAACTGCTGCAAGTTAAACAGAGTGGTAACTGATAAGCTGGGGAGTACTGCTTTTTTGGAAGCAACAAATCTGTGATTGCTCCAAAATGTCCATTGGAACAGGGATTGGACACTCCAGACACACACTTGGGCTGTGTCCAGACTCAGGGGTTTTTTCGAAAAAAGTAGCCTTTTTTCGAAAAAACTTCACCTGCGTCTAGACTGCAGCCGCGTTCTTTCGAAATTAAATCGAAAGAATGCGGCTTTTCTTTCGACGGTGGTAAACCTAATTCCACGAGGAAGAACGCCTTCTTTCGAAAGTGCTCTTTCGAAAGAAGGCATTCTTGAAAGCAAACAGGCTTTTTAGAAAGAGAGCATCCAGACTCACTGGGTGCTTTCTTTCGAAAAAGCGGCTTGCTTTTTCGAAAGTTCTGCTTGCAGTCTAGACATAGCCTTGGAGAGCTCAAAACTGAAGCGTGTCCATCACTAACCTTCAGAAAGACAACAGAGCCTGTACAAGCTGCGGGGAGAGGGAGGGGGGCGGCGGGGGGAGTAAGTACTTGTGCTGCCTATGGCCAGTGAAGTAAGGGAGCTGACCCTCAGCGTACACAAACAAGACTTCCATGTGCTAAGAGTAGGTTGTAGCAGGATACCTCACAAACCTGAGTACTAGGGATGTTACATATTGGGTAACTGAGCAGTCGTGAAACTGCATGAAATCTTTGTAGTTACATGACTATTTGATAGTCCCCAGAGGACAGGGTTGGAAGCAAGTGTGCTCCCAGCCCCACTCTCAGGGACCCCCTGACACTCCATGCTGCTGCTCCGTGAAGGGAGCCAGTTTAAAATCCAGCTCCCCACACAAACTGGATGCTTGCCACCCCAAGCTGCTGCCTCTAATACAGAGGCATCAGCCCCAGCCCGTGGCGGTCCCATGCTTGCCATGGACAGAGGCTGCTCTGTGGGATGTGAAGCAGCTTCTGTCCCGAGGGTGCTCAGGCCTGCCGTGGACTGAAGCTGCTTCGCAGCAGCCTCCCCTGCCCTCCCCACCCCACTGCCTCTGATAGAGACAGCAGTGCATGTGGGAGCACCACGGAGCTAGTGGTAGTGGGGAACCAGCTTTTAAGTTGGCGCCCCAACTACCACTGGCTCCTGCTCCCCTCATCTTGTTGCCTCTGTAACCGAGGCAGCAAGAAGGGAGAAATGTGTGTAGTTGAGATAAATCTCAGCTTATCAGTTAATCATATAGTCAAATACACATTAACATCCCCACTGGGTACAGACCCTGACATTAGGACAGACACCGATACAGTGATCTTAGTTGCCTTTACTGGCTACAATAAGTTGTTTCCAGTTCTGCTACATCTGATCAGGCTGATCAAACCCTGCCCTTTTTGTCTTACTCCTACAGGAATATTAATGGATCTTATTCACCCTGAAAGGACCTTAGGTGTTGTCTACTTATGCTTAGCAATCTATTCCACCTTGTATTTAACTGTGACACCGAGTACTTTTCCCAGACCAGAAGACAAGTTCTGTGTAAGCTTGAAACCTCATCTCTCTTAACTACAGAATTAGGTCCAATATATTACCTTACCCACCTCGTCAACTCAAAACTATGGCAGTTCTTTATCTCTGCTCAATCTTCTCATTTTTGTTTCACTGAATTCCAGCAACTACTATTTTCTAAATGCATGGTTTATGTACCAAAACAGTGCAGAAATTTGTTAAAATGGTATTCTCTTGATAGATCTTAACATGCAGCCTCAGAACTTTATGAAATCTCAACTGCATAGTTCTGACATATTCCCTAGTGATGATGCAAAACTGCTCTACTGATAAGGGCCTGCTGGCCTCCTGTACTTCAAGTCTGACTGTTTAGCAATTTCTCCCTAACAGACTATTCTGGTGTTCATGAACCCCTCTCACAATCTCCTTCTCTCTCAACCAAGATTAACCTGGATTCCTCCTATACATGAACAGGCCATACAACCCAGAAGGGGCTGTCATATTTGACTCTGAACAAAGTTTATAATAATACGAAAGTGAGTGTGGAAGGTACCCCCTCACCCCCCACTCTACAACTACTTTGCTTTAAATTTTACAACATGGATAATACTACTTCACTTTTACAAAATAGCTAATTAACATTATTCCAATTTTAAAGATGCGGAAATGGAAACACAGAAAAGTTAAGTGACTCACTGAAGGTCACCAAGTCAGTCACCGACAGACCTAGAAAAAAAAAAACTGTTTTCTGACGGCAAATCTTGTGCTCTCAAGCCAAGAACATACACAATAAAAATACAACCTGTAAAATTTACCTTTTGCCTCTCAGCATTTCCATTTACTTTAGTAAATTTATGACATTCTTTCATGCAGGTGTGATTCTGACAATCAAGCAGTCGTCCACAAAATCTTTTACACGAGTAGGGGCCAGCAGAGTGACATGGTAATGGACTCACCTAAAAAGTTAAAAAACAACACATGGCACCAGAGAACTTTGGTTTCTCTATACATCTTTGACAAATAGTCTTAATTAACACAATACAAAGTTCAATTAATGTTATATACTTGCTTTTATACATAAAAAACGTTAACAAGCTTGCTTTCTTAAAATATAGCCACTGACTGGTTGGAAAACAGACAACTAACTACAGACTAAATGTTTTCAGTATGGACTTCTATTGAGAATCTCTAATGAAGGCGCAAAGTATGAGTGCTTTTAAGCTCATGATAATCCTATGGAGATGCAATATATACTGACCTCACTCAAAGTCCACTCCAGTTCTAAAATTAAGCTTCAGAATCTCTCTACATATAGCATCTTTCAGTAGAGCCAGTAATCTTTAAAACCAGAATTTTAAGTGTGCCCACTGTAATTCCAATGAGAAACTAAACACTGAAAGATGTTCAACATCAAACTGTGTGTCAGTGGCACTATGAAAGAACTAGAATTTGAAGATGGAAGGCAGAAGATAACCTCAACAGTGAACTTGAATTGTGCTCTGGCTGGCAGATTCGTTACATGATTGTGGCCTGGGATACGTGGAACAGAAATCTAAGGCTATCATTGCCAAATTACTCTCTCTCTTCACCATATCATGTGGAAATTGAAGCTTTCTGTGCTGTCTGAAACATGATCATTTTCCCAAATACCTAGAAGTAAACACTTATGAAATTAAAATATTAAATCATTTTTAAATTAATTAATTTTCTTCTTTGATTTCATTTCCACCTCCTGACTTCGAGTAGTTACTAGTCATTCTGCTGTGGACGTCCCAGACCCATCAAAAGAGATTCTTCAAAGCAAGTGTGCTAGTTTAGCCTCTTGCTGCTGGAACACTATAAAAACTTTAATATAATGAACCTCACTACTATTGCCAGCACCTCAAGAAATCAATAGCTTCAAGGAAGCTGATGAGTGGAGACAATAGGAAAAACAGTTGAAGAGAGTGGAGGGTCACATCTAAAAATGGATTAGGAACCAAAAAAATGTGGCCTCACCATTTCCCAGTACAAATCTACCAGAAAGAGAATGCTGAGAACAGGGCTAAGAAGAGAGGAAGCAGAAGCAGAAAGTCTTTTAACTTTCAGCAATTCATTCCATTCTTTTCTGCATGGAAAGTGGTTTTATATCACCACCAGAGCAAACTAGAGACCTGCCTGCAATGGGAAAGCAAAATTAAAACCAAAGACAAAACGAGGAAGTTTAAAATAATAAATATGGAGGGTTTAGGAATGGATGGTCTGTTTGTTTTTGCTTATACAATTAATATTGGATTACATTTTTAAATTTAGGTAATTGGGGAACTAAAACAACTAACTATACTTTAGGTTATAACCTATCACATAAAAAAGGAGCTAGCATAAAAGAATGTATACAAGCAGAGTCACAGATTAATACATCAATTGCCACAGACATTAAAAATGAAACTGCAATTAAGAGAAAAAACAAAACATTAGAACATAAAATCAAAGGTCCATAACAGAAGACACCACCAAAAGAGTTCTAGGAAAAACAAAACAAAACAAACCTGGCTACTCACTACATACAGAAGAATGATAGTCTGAATACAGTTTATATAGAAAACACTATGTCTAGAATACCCATCACAGGAATCACTAAATTAAAACAAAGTGGAATTTTTAAGATTACCTCTCAATATTTCATGAACTTAAACAAGTGGATTACAAGTATCTACAGTTGTAGGTTAAAGCAACTTTTGCCCAAGTATTTAATATTTGTAGTATGTAGTAGTCTAAATGAATACCTAATCATAGAAGACTAGGGTTGGAAAAGAGCTCAGGAGGCCATCTAGTCTAATCTCTCACTCAAAGCAGGACCAACCCCAACTAAATCATCCCAGTCAGGGGCTTTTCAAGCCTAGCCTTAAAAACCTCTAAGGATGGAGATTCTACCTTCTCCCTACATAACCCATTCCATCAGCTCACCAACCTCCTAGAGCAGGAGTGGGTAATAATTTGTAATGGGGGGAGGGGTAGTCCAAGGTTTTTTAGCAAGTGCTCAAGGGCCACATTTCTACCAAGGGGGTTTGGAATCTGGGAAAGAGGTTGGGTGAGGAAGGGAGCTTGGAGTAGGAAACTAGAGTGCAGGCGGGGGTATAGAGTCTGAGAGGGAGTGAAGGAAGGGGTCGTGATTAGGGAGGATAAACTGAGGGTAATTGACTAAGCGAACAGCCAATGCATTTTGCATTGACAATTCGACTAGTTGATAGAGCATCTCCACCTCTGAAGTATAGAAACAGACCTAGGGCTGTTGCTATACTTTAAAGGCGAAAGCGTCATGTGGAGCCCGGGGTAAGTTGGGGACTCCCTGCTGACCACAGGCTCCCTTCTTCCCCCCCTCCCTCCCCTGGCTGCCTTTTTCTGATAGAGGCAGCAAGGAGGGGAAGTGTGTTGAGTATCCAGTAAGCTTTTGCTTATCAGAGAGTCGACGAGTCGATTAGTTGCTTACATCCCTAGTCAGTACCCCCGCCCCTGTCCCCGGAAGTCCTGTCTCCCCTATCACCGGAAGTTCTGCCCTTGGGGGTAATACATCCGGGGTCAAGAGGGGCAGGTGACCGGAAGTAAGGGGTATCATGTGACCCCTCTAAGGACTCACCCCATCTCCCTCTACCAATCCGGAAGGGGTTTTCCCCTGTAGGACCACCCCATGAACCGCTTTGACCAATCGGGGGGCAGTTCTGGGACCGGATGACCTGCCCAGAAGTGGATGTGTGACCCTTCTAAGAACTCGCCCGCCTCCCTCTACCAATCAGGAAGGGTTTTTCCCCCTGTAGGACTGCCCCGCAATCCGCTTTGACCAATCGGGGGTGCAGTTCCGGGATCCGTTGACCAGACCGGGAGCGGGTCGTGTGACCCCTCTAAGAGCTTCCCGTGACACCCTCTGCCAATCAGAGCATAGCACTTCCCCATAAGTTCTAGCACCACACAAAAGAGGCCATCTTGTTCCAAGAGCACGTGTTTCAGGGAGCGTGCAAACGCTGAGCGGAAACAGGGCTTCTTTCACCAACTTTGTTTTGGTGCTACATCAGCGACAGAAGAAAGCACTACATCAGCGACAGTTCCAAGGAGGAAGGAGAAATTGAAGGGAGCCCTTTGGCCCAGCCACTGATGGATACACCAGTATCTGACGCCGAAACCCAACCGCTCACGAGGCAGCCCGATGAGCTAGATGGCCTGGAGGAGGAAGGTGCCCATGGCTCCCAGGAGTTGGACAAGGTGCATGGAAAAGAAGTCAAAGAGGTAAATGAAAGATCAAAGTTGAGGTATCATGGGGTTAGGAAACCGGGATTTTGTAAACCTTTAAAAAAAAAAAAAAGACCCGACTGTCTTACATTATTTCTTTCTGGCAATCTCTCGACAGCTTGACGATGCCTTTCTAGCTGACCCTCAGACCCAGGACAGCATTGCATCGGACAAGGAAGACGAACCGGGCCCACCTTGTTTTTGCTCAACACCGATACAAAGCATTGAAGAGAACGCCAAGGATGACAGCCATGAAGAATTCAGGAGGTGGCTTGGCATTGACCTAGTTGAGCCAGTGCCACATCATAAGCGTAAAAAAGTTATGCGCTCTATTGTACGCGTTGGTGTTTATACCGTCCTTAGTCACTGTCTTAGGGAAAAGCTTTTTGAGGACTGTGAGGGTTGTGTCATAAATGCGCCAGCCCAGCGGTACCATGACTGTTTGACTTGGACTCCAGAGGGTATAAACTGCAAGCTCCAGGGCCTATGTGCTGAACTGTGTTTGGAAAGCTTATTAAATACTGTTATTGCCGTAGGTCATGCTATGCAATGCCTGTGCTTAACTCAAGAACACTTAGCACAAGGGGTGACTTTGGTAAATGCAGTGCAATTCAGTCAAGATCCTCACAGTGTTTTAAAGACCATGACCAAGCCAAAAGACGCCTGCTTAGAGCATTATATTGAACGTCTGGTGCGTACAAAAAGTTACAGAACCCTGCTTAAGAAAAAGACTATTTGTAAGATGTGTAAAAGGATGAAGTTAGAGAATGGTGAGGGGACACACATGAGATATAAAACTTGGTAGCTGTAAATATCTTTTGAAAAGGAGCTTTTGTGACTATCTTCTGTCAGAAGGTTTGTGTGATCCCTACATGAGTAAAAGTTTTGGTGGAACACATGGTTTGTATGTTTTTTAAATAAAATCATTTTAAAAAAAATAAAGTTTGTGAGAATCCATTTTGTATAAAGGGGCCCATTTACTGAAAAACCCTGAAAGATGTATGGTAGAAACTCGGGGGAAGAAAAACCCCTCCAAAATGTTTTGTTTTTTAAATAAAAGGAAAAAAATCACCTCCCTCCCACCCACCCCAGTTAGGATTTATTAAACATGAACTCAATGGTTTAACTACACCTCACTGAATAGCCAGGGGGCTCTAGTCAATGGTTAGGTTTAGGTGTGACCACTTACCCTTGTTGAGGTTAATGTTCAGTAATTAAATTTGATGGGTTGGATGGGTGGGCTCTAATGAATATCTAATTAAACAACACCTCAGGAGTTTGCAGATGCTATTGGACAGTTTAAATATAACCCCTGGGGTTGGTAGAGCACTATTGGACAGTTTAAAGGACACAGGCGCTGGTAGAAACGTTATTGGACAGTTTAAATATGACCCAGGAGCTGGTTAAATGCTATGGGCTACTTTTTCTAGCCATTAAAAGTTAAAAAAAATTAAGGGTCTAACCCAAAACTGAAATGTTTCAGTCTTTTACCCATACTTTAGAACAAGCATTTGCTCTAAAAGACAATCAAACATTTAAAAGCATTTTATTTAAACCTCAAGCCTTAAGCATGAAAGAAGCATGTTTAAAAAAACAAACCCCAAGACATTTATTGATATCTGCAAAGGGTCTCCACATGGAAATGGGTACAGCTACATTAAGGATTGGTGCTTTTACTGTTAATACTGTAAGAAAGCCCTACAAAAATGTATTTTAACTAAAAGAAAAAAATGTAGCCAAAAGCAACTCAGTTGTGGAGACAGCTTACTTCTTCCACCCCCAGATCACAAAAGGCAATGCTAGGGAGGGGTGCCTAAAGTCTTTAAGGATCTATTATTTTAGAGTTGCAGTGATCAAATTAACCTGCTAGCTACTATGTTGAAGTTGTTTGAAACAATGGGTTAGGAGGGTATAAAAAAACCTAGGTAGTTTGGAGACTGTCCTTTTCAACAGAAACTTTCTTGAATGGCTGCTGGACTGCAACAGGAGAAGGTATGTTCCCTGTTTTTAACTTTGAAAATATATGTTATATAATGCCACTCTTTGGCCATGCTCTCTTAGTAAAATAATGTTTGCTACCTTTATTGCAGTGTAATCTGTTTAACATGGAACCAGTAATTTTAAGCTGCAGTTCACCACCAGGCCAAGGTAAAAACCATTTTTAACTGTAGTTGTGCTTTATACCGTTAAAAAAAACCCTGGGTAATACTAACATTTGTGCTTATTCTTTAACCTTAAGGCCCAAGCACACATGGGGGGGAACAGAACAAGCATGTGCCTGCAACAC